GTGACATGAAAGAACCAAATTAGAAATTTTTCAAATGTACGCTTATGTTAGTTTAACTTTGATTTAAAAAAGAGATGTCTTTTCATTGTAAAGTTTCAAATTGACCTCAAACTGTCTTTGGGTTGAATTCATGCAGCAGAGGGACGACAATTCAAAGTTAGACAATCAAGGCACACAAGCACAGTAATTTATAGATCGAAGTGAAGATGAAACGGCTTCCTGGCAGGTTAGCAAGTCAGAACAGATTTAAATCAATGTAAAAAGAAATGTTGCAGGTAAGGGGTACAGGTAGATAGGATGTAACAGTTGTTAACCTTTCCTGCTCTCCACTGAGGAGGTGACCAGACACTGTTCTGGACTCACAGAAGATCTAAGCCGGTGTTCAACCCACTGGTTGAATGGGCTGCCTCTGTCCGCTGGGTTGACGGGCTGGCAGTGGTCTGTTCACGGGTGTTGGTCTGCAGTGTGGTCGCAACAGGTAGAAAGGGAAACAGACCGAGTGCTGTGAAAAAACATCATGTGATCAGGCACACCTGCTGCCACTCACTCATGGAGCCGAGGCATGGGGGGGGGCCCTACCTGAGAGAGAGAGAGAGAGAGAGAGAGAGAGAGAGAGAGAGAGAGAGAGAGAGAGAGAGAGAACACAACACAACCCAAACATGAACCGTAGGGTCGTAACAAGCAGTCTCTTCTTACGTATTTGGTGGTATTTAAATTAGGGATGGGACGCTCGATACTGACGTATCGACGCTGTGTCGAGATCCCGAAGCACAGACGTTTCGCAACACTGCTCCAAACCGTGGTTCAAAACGTCAATGTCACGTGACCGCAGTGAAGCGAGGCTTCAGAGTGTCTCACCCCTGTTTCGACAGGTGGCACACCTGCCGTTTCTACGCTTGATTCGCAGTGTTTGGAACAAACCACACATCAGCCTCTAACTCATTTGACAGATTTGTTCCAAGGACACACAATCATTTGATTTATTGGAGCGTGCTGTAGTATATCCGCACCTGTAGGCCTATGATGGCAAAAAAAATATTTATCTTTGACAGCAACAAATGTTCCATGTGACCAAATTTTTCCAAGGCTGGGGAAAAACCCGACTCAGCCCCAAAACAACTGAATATTTCTGAATACTATTCTTGACATATAACAAATATGAGACATTGTTCCACTTTTCTTGAAACAACTTCAACTTTACTCAGTTACGGATTTTTAATCCATTACACCTCATCACTGCCAGCACTCATTATTATTATTAATTATTATTACACTAGGGCCAATATCTTTTCTGCTAATTATCATTCCACCTTTGTTAATAAGCTACTGTATAATACCGTAGATATCCACATTTATTATCATTTATCATTAGGCTATATTCTTAGATTTGTATACTTTATTATATTCTCTACTCACTAAATTCTACCTAGTATTTTTATTCCTTTTATGCCTTGCGAGTATCTGCAACAAAGACTTCACCGTGGTAGATCAATAAAGTATTCCGATTCAGAACACGAACAAGTTGTCTCTATGGGTTAGTGGTTAAGACACATGCGTTTGGTGTGAGAGACCTGGGTTTGATTCCCACCGTGATACATGTGTACCTGAGCAAGACACTTAACCTCTAGTTGCTCCCAAGGTGCGTCCTCTGACATGCTTTTGAGAAAAGCGTCGGCTAAATGAGTGATTACTTACGAAACAACACAGATGTGTTTTAGCCTATTTAAACACACTTTTATTGCAATCCCCATCTGCTGTCTCTGACAATCTGAAAGCGTTAGTTTCTTTGTTGTATGGTGATTTTTCCGAAATCCTGTTGGTCATGTATTGATAAGACGTTTAGAATAGTAAACCCGGGTCAGTCATTGTTTCAATGAAACCCCGACCAAGATGTGTCGATATCAAAAGTGACCAGTAGGTGTCACCGTGGAGACGGGTGTCGAAGTTTTTTGAAGCCTCGACACAATTCCGGCACAATTGCTTCAAACGTTTCAATGTTTCACAAAGCCTCGCTTTTCCCATCACTAATTTAAATCCCCTGTTTCCAATACATTTTGGCTCAATGTCAACATTCCTTTGAGTTGACATTGGGTCTTCTGGGATCATTGAGATCACCTGTTGCACAGGGTGTGGGAACTGACTCCTTAACAATGATTGAGAGCAGCTTGGTGATTCTCTTCTTGGCAAATCAGGGTGTGATGACGCCCATTCTTGAAGGCATAAGAGAGGTGGGCAACAGCACAGCCAGGGCTAGTGACAAAGCCTCGTGAAGATTTATAGGCTTTTTTTCTGATTGTAAGTGCTGCAAGAACTGTAGCCTATGTGGTGTATAATATATGTGCATTTGACTCATTACAGTTTAAAATAGCACTGTAGCAGCTGGACAGAGGGTCAGTGACCTCTTAAGGGGAGAGCAGTGATTGATGATTATGTAGGGAGTGAACCCTTCTATAGAATTTGACCTCTGACCCCGTGTTTTGTTACCTCAGAATAGTACTGAACCCTTCTATGGTGTCTAACAGATGCCTACACAAATCCTATAGAACTGTGCCCTTATATGGATTGGTGCCTTAGTTTGCAGACTTAACCCCTTCTATGGTATCAGATATCTAACAGAGACCTAAACATGTCCTATATAAGCTATGTTTGATGTACAGAGAGACAGAATGGTCATCGGGCTGGGTCTCTCTCCAAGCTGCTGCAGAACTTGTAATTGATGCTGAACTCCTTGATGTAATAAACTTTTATAATCAAGAACAGTGTCAAGCGGGTTTCTTCTCAACACATCATCGCAGCATTATTGTTCGGACACCACACCTACATGTTGCTACCTGCCACTATGTCTAAATAAGGTTTAAAAAAGTTTCCTTAAATCATCATTATCTGCTATAATAGTAAACCAGGCAGTCTAAGCTACAATAAAGAAAGCACACTGTTAAATACTTCACCTCTGGACCTCTGCAGTGGCACTGGCTGTTGCATTTGACACATGCTGCTGTGCATACAGATGGCTGTCAACATTTATTCCCTGGCTTTTAATTCACCATGCAAGCTGCTGTGGTCTTCATTGTCGCTGTCAGTGTTGCTGTTATTTGTTTTGTTTTTATTTATCATGAGCATATTTTATATCATCTCTGTAAAGCACTTTGGGAACCTTGAGTAAAGTGGATTGGATTCTATTTTATATTCACGAATTGTCCCGTCAGCTGAATTTTTTTGTTTCCCTTTATATAAATAAAGACATTTCCACCATAAATTGGAGCAGAAAATGTCTCCAGAATGCAGGAAATTAAGTGTTTAATGCTTCAATTTTTGGGGGGGAAGACCCCCAGACCCCCACTCATATATTTCAGATTTCTTCAAAATGGTGTTAAAAATCTTCTCGTCTTGTTGTTGTGCATCATCGTGTCTCATGACCCAAAATGTATCATCACGCCCCAAATTTGAGCACTTGTGTCCCCCCACTTTTCAACACAAAGTGAAATGCACAGAACTGTTCATTGGGGAGACTAAACAACCACTACACAAACGCATGGCTCAACACAGAAGGGCCAACTCCTCAGGTCAAGACTCTGCAGTCTACTTACATCTGAAGGACAGAGGACACTCATTTGAGGACCACCAGGTGCACATTTTAGACAGAGAGGATGGATGGTTTGAAAGAGGTGTCAAGGAAGCCATTTACACCAGGGTGGAGAAGCTGTCGCTGAACAGAGGAGGGGGTGTACGCCACCACTTATCCCCCACTTACAATGCTGTCCTTTCATCACTTCCCAGGAAACTCAACAAACGTAACCTATTGGCCTCAGGTGAAGATACCAATGATGTTGTTACCACTGCCATGAGCACAAATGAACCAGCGGTATCGATGATCCTAGCTAACAACCCCACAGAGGTTAAATAGCTTGATCAAGAAGTCTCTTGGATGAGAGACAAAACATCTTCCATTATCTTCAACCAAGTCCAGTTGCCTTGACTTTAACCTTCTTTCGATAACTATGACCTGGATGACTGAGAACCTTCACAGACATGTTATAGTTATAGTAGCTAGTTATAATTCTTCCATTTTTGAAAATGCTCCTTTACTGCTAAAGTTGATGTCCTGCACAATAGGTTTCAGTTGGATTTAAAGGGGCTATACGTAGTTTTAAAAAAATTAACAAATCACTTTTTTATTGCCTGTGGGTGAAGATGTTGTAACCTCACACACAAACGATCCACTTACTGGGTTTTATTGTAGTTCCTATATGGAGGAAATCTGGAGGAAGACTCAGGGTTGGATTTTACGGAAATCCCTTGCTTTGATGCACTCTTGCCTTGTCTACTGACCCTGCGCTACGACACTGCAGCTACTGACATGAAGTTCCCTAAAACAAAAACACAACCAGGTCCCAGCACAACACAAACTCCAAGTCAGGATAAAAAACAAGAATAAAATTTCTGTGCTGGAGCCCGTCAGGCCAAACGAGAATCATATCGACATCGGTTGAAAGGGCAGTCAACATCAGAAAGGCTTCAGACATCCACCTTGTTTTGGAACCAACAAAACTGACCCAGAGTTGGCTTTCTTCCTGTTGGACAGGTAAACTAATATTACAGCAAGGCACATTAAATAAATTGTGATTTTGTGCTTTAGTTGGCTCATGTTATATAATGTTAGCTCGCCGGCTAACACTGACCAGTTGCTAATGTTATCCTTTGCTAAATACTGTAGTTTCATGGCTTTCCACATCACCAGCTAACGTGACCCATCTTACTATCCTGTGTACAACCGGTATTATTTCAAAGTGTTGATTTGAGACTCCAACAAATGATGGAACGGTACAAAGCAAATGTGGAGCGGGAGTTTATGTGAGTTTCAGCATGTTGTGTGACGCTGTCTCCCAATGTGTCAGATTCTGCTCGCTCATGAGTTCAAGCACGAGCGCACACGGTCGCAATCTAAAACCTGCACCGCTGAAAACTATATACATTTTGGGAGCAAAACAGTCAAGAGGAAGTTAATAACTTTATCTTTTAATTGTGAACATGTGAAACAGAACTGATGGTTTCTGAAGTTATTTGTTCCAATTAAAACTCAAAGTTGTGGTACTTTGGAAAACATGAGTGCCACTACACAGATGATACACATAATACAGATAATACACAGTCGTACATTTTTCACCAAATGATTTCTGTTGATAAAAATGTGCTTATTTTTTCATCAGAATCATTACTGAATGTGACAAATTCCACACTGTTAATGAAAGACAAAACAGAATTTATTATATTTAGAACAACTTGAAATCTCTGTGCTAAATATCAAGCGGTTCACTGACCTCATGCACCGCATGATGTCCACTGTCCAAACCTCACTTCACATGGTGCATTCCATCCCCAAAACATTCAGCATTGTTTGGTCAGACAGCTTTTGAAACTTCTTCTGAAGATCCCTCAAGTTGTGCTTCAAACCGCCTCATGCATCATCGAAAACACACCAATGTGTCCCTGAACAAGGCACTTAACCCCTCGTTGCTCCAGAGGTATGTGACCTCTGACATTTATAGCAATAGTAAGTCGCTTTGGATGAAAACGTCATCTACATGAATACATGTAAATCACACCCCTACAAAGAACTTATCTGGTTTTTGGACTCATGGTGCAACCACATTGATCAACATATGCTCATATTTTATGTTTTCAGTTCTGTGAATTTGTAATTTTCTTCCAGCTCCATGATGTCGATTTCTGTCTCCTGTCTCAGCTTTGTATACTGTGTCTGATGGAGGTCAGGGTGATGTTTGCAGGAGCACAGGGGAACCACCTTTTGAAAAATGTATATTTGGTGAGTGGACTGTGTTGGATAAAAGGGATTAAAACCAAATTAATTAATACACTGAAATGAAAAGTAAGAGACATCATCTGAGTTTGATCCTCTGCTTGCTGTTTTCAGTCAGCTGTGGTTTGTTGGTCGACATCAATGAAGCTGACATGTTGGATATTAACGTTTAATGTGTGTGTGTGTGTGTGTGTGTGTCCTCAGTGAACTGTATCAGTCTCTGCAGTAGCTTCCAGCTGCAGCAGTCAGTTCAGTTTCTGTTCAGTCTGACTGAGGGAGGTTTTTGTACGACGCTTTTTCACTGTGTGAACACACGCTGACTGTTGATTTCATGATAACTCTGACAGTAGTAAACTGCTGCATCTTCAGCCTGAACTCCACTGATGGTCAGAGTGAAGTCAGTGCTTGATCCACTGCCTGTAAAACGACTTGAAATCCCCGATTGTCTATGTCGTGTCCAGGTAATGAGCAATTTAGGAGTTTCTCTTTCTTTTTGCTGGTACCAGGCTAAAGCGTGGTCAGAACCCCCAAAGTACGCAGCAGGACTGACGCTACAGCTGATGGAGACGGAGGCTCCCAGAGCAGAGCTCACTGCTCCAGGCTGAGTCACTGTGATCTGGCCTCTGGACTCTGAGGATACAGAGACAAACACATAAAGCAGCGTCATGGTTTTGTGGGCTTCATTTCAGAGGGACGGATGTTCATAGAGGAGAGGAGTTTGATTCTCTGGACTTTACCTGTCAAGCAGCAGCAGAGGAGAGTCCAGATGAGGACGGAGACCAAAGTCATGTTTTTGATGAGGAGGATTTCTGTGGCTTCTGTTGTCATGAAGGACAGCTGTCAGTCATCCAGTGTTCAACTCTCAGGACTATAAAGTCTCCCAGAGCACTGGAGCATGGTGCTGCTGATGCAAAGTGGCTCTCTATGGAAATGCTCTGACTGACTCCAACAGGGACTTGGATTACTCTGATGATGCTGCTTCTCAACGGATCAATACGTTTACCAGAGGATTGATTAGGAATGTGTCAGTGATCATTTTTATGGACATTTGCTTTGATGACTGCAGAAAGATTTTCTTTTACAACATCTTCTGTCTGCTTTCATTTCATTCTAGAGGGATCAATTTGACTTTCAGACCAATGGAACAATATATACGTAAAAATGGGATTCATTCTGAACAACTGTGTCACTGTTTGATAAATATAACATGAAATAGTGAATTCTTTTAAAAACAGCAAGTGTTTTTGTTGAGTTTGTTGTGTTCAAAGTCAGAGAGCCGTGTCTCTCTACAGTGAGAGGTTTTTGTACGACGACTCAATCAGTTTGTATCACTGTGGTACACGTTCGGTGGAGGAACCAGACTGGATGTTGGAAGTAAGTTTCTGCACAAATATTAAATATCGTATCATCAGCGAAGGTTTTAATTTCTGTGTCTGAACATTTGTAGTAGATATAAATTTCCTCTGGACTGATCTAAATCACTTTAAAGACAATCTTATTGTTCGTTTCTCCTGTTTAACCATGAAGCTGAACTCAAAGCAGCTTTACTGAACTTCTCTTTAAACGTTCCATTTAATTTGTGAAATGTGAACAGCTTGAACTGCAGCAAAGATTAAAGAACAACACGCGTACTTTAAAAATGATTCAGCCTTTAATTCTGCATTTTAAACTGTTTAGAAGTTGAGTTAAAATTATTTTGAATAGTGTGAATGAAGATAAAAATGTTTCCAAATCTCTGATCTTCTAAAATGGCTCAAATTGTATTTTAACCTCAGTTTGAAATAATGTTGACAGTTCTCTGATGCTGTTTATAAATCTGTCTGAGGAACAGGTTACCTGTGGTCGTCTGTTATTTTGGGCTGATAATGTCCTTTAACAGTGGATCTCAGTAACTTTTGCCCTTTTGAGAGTTTTGACAGTAAATGTTTTTTGTATTTCCAAATTTAAAACCTGGTTTTTTTATTTCCAGTGCAGTTTGATATCTTTCAGCTCATATGAGGACTCTTTCTGTGCTGAACTGCATGAGAGGTTTCTTAAAGGAAGTGAAACAATGTGTGAGTGAGTGACTGGTGGAGCAGAAACCAGCTGTGTGGGCCCCATCCTCTAAGCCGATTGGTTCTTCTCCTAGGTGATGTCCGTCCCACCCTGACGGTGCTGCCCCCCTCCAGCGAGGAGCTGCAGCAGGGGAAGGCCACGCTCATGTGCCTGGCCAACAAGGGCTTCCCCTCAGACTGGAGTCTGGCCTGGAAGGTGGACGGCAGCAGCAGCAGCAGCAGCAGCAGCAGCAGCAGCAGCTGGGAGGAGAGCAGGAGCCCCGGGGTGCTGCAGAAGGACGGCCACTACAGCTGGAGCAGCACCCTGAGGCTCTCTGCAGACCAGTGGAGGAAGGTGGGCTCTGTGACCTGTGAGGCCACCCAGGGCTCCCAGACTCCGCTCTCAGAGACACTGAGGAGAGACCAGTGTTCCCAGTCCTGACCTGACTCACTGGGACTCTGCTACTGGTTTTCCTCTGCTCCTGCTCTCACTCTGCACTCTGGAACTGTCTCTCTCTTTTATTTGACATCTTTCAACAGCAAGATTTACTAGCTTGTTGCACTGTTTCAATATTATTTCAGTGTTTCCAGATAATAAAGACCTTTTCATCCAATCAGCTGTTTTCATGTTTATTATCAAAGTTTCTTAATAAATGTTCTCTTGATGGTGTCAGTGACTGTTTCACATCCACAGATCAACAGTTTAACGTCATAATATATTTCTAAAGTTACAGTATATTGAGAGAGATTTTAAAGTCAGACATAACTCCTCATTATATTTTGATTAGTACAAACCAGTGATGGTCGTAGAATTCCATATTTTTTCACAATCAATTTGAATTCATTCCTGACTGTAAAACCTTTCCTGATGTCGTTACAGATTTTTCTGTAATAATAAACCTTTTTGGAACAAAATCCCTGGTAAAACTGTCTTAATGGTAATAACTTTAATCTTGTAATTGTTTGTGTATCCAAAGAACCTTTTCACTTGAATAAAACTAAAGATGATAAAAGGAAATAATTCAAATGTTGCTGATTTATTTACTCCATGAACCTTTTGGTTCCATTATGAAATAAATGTGTTTGCTGGAATAAAAAACACAAATTAAGTTATTTATACATGTTGTTATAGACATGATTGGTCATTATGACTACAAGAATGAAATTAGATTTTATTGAGATGATATTTCGTTAAGTATGTTGAAGTTCCTATGAAAAATTGTAAGATATAAAATCATAAAAATTTACAATTTTAGTGTTATTACTCTGAATTTCAGAAGAATAGTTCAATTAGATTATAAATGTTTGGCTTAAATACAGAATATTTAGTGTTGAAATGTTTAAAGTGTTGTTATTATTGTCTAAATGTTTTTTTATAAACCTCTGTTTTAGTTTCAGTGCAGCTGTTGAGTCAGATCAGTTCCTCTCCAGCTGAGGGAGGTTTTTGTACGACGTTGTATCACTGTGTGAACGGCCAGTTGGAACCCTGCTGACAGTAGTAAACTCCTGAATCTTCAGCCTGAACTCCACTGATGGTCAGAGTGAAGTCAGTCCCAGATCCACTTCCACTAAAACGATCTGGAACTCCAGACTGACGAGTTGTAGCATCATAAATCAGGAGTTTAGGAGCTTCTCCAGGTTTCTGAAGGTACCAGTGCAGGTAGCTACTAACACTTGTACTGGTTTTACATTTGAGAGAGACAGCCTGTCCTGCAACAGCAGACTGAGATCCAGGAGACTGAGTCAGGATGATTTGTCCTGATGAACCTGGAAAAGATGAAAAAGAGGAGAAGGGTTATTGAGACAAATCCAGCTTGGAGAAAGATGATCAGCATCCAAACAGAAGAGTCTCATTTCTTTAAGATGGAGAACAGATGGAAGAAGGTAAATGCTGCTTGTTTCAGTGTTTCTCCATCACAGCAGAACATCATTGTGGTGAAGCTGGTTGCATCCTGAAGCAAAGTTTTCAGAAGAGAGTCTCACCCTGAACAAGGAGCCCCAGGGTGGCCAGCAGTAGAATCAGTGACATCATCATTGTGCTGCCGGCGTGTCAGTGGCTCTGAAAGGCCTGGACAGCCACTGATCAACACTGGCCTCTTAACGGCTGGGAGCAGAGAGGCAGGACAGATATGCAAACACACAGAGTCAGTGAACTGTAGCTGTCCTCAACATATCATGCTGTTTCCTCCTCACTGCTGGGACAGCTGCCTGTTTAAAACATCCTCATGCAGATTAACACAAACTAACAATAGAAGTTATAACTAACTAACTTTTCTATCAGCTGACCTGTTCTAACTGGTTCTCCTGTTCACAGTTAACCACCAACATCTGGTGGTTTTGGTGATCAGAATTTACACTGCAGTAAAACATCACACTTTTATCTTTAGTACTGAAACCTGCCTGTTGCCATGGTTCATCAGTGATGCCTGTCTGTTGCCATGGTAACTTAGCTCAGGGAGGGAAGTGAAACCAGTTTTAAGTTCAGTTTCATCCAGTTAGAGGAAGACCAATAGAACCAGCAGCCTCCTCTTCTGCAACCAGCAGGACGTTGTCCATCTTCACGTTGTTTTAATCAGACTCAGTCCCTGTTTGTCCAAAATGTGTCTCAATAGGTTTGAGACACATTTTGACACATTTTTCAGACTTAATCGAACTCAGTGGACCCAAATAGTGCTATGGACCTGAGTAGAGACTGACCAGGCAGAGTAGACTATGGCAAGTGTCAGAGTAAAGTGAGGACTGAGTCCAAGATTACCTTCCCTAGTTCTGAAGTTGATGACTAAAAAAATATTAGCCTAAACATTAATGGAACAATTTGGTATTTTTGTCTAAAACTATTGAAGCAGCTAAAGATATGTTTGGAGAGAAAGGAGAGCAGAAATGCAAAAAAAAAAGAGTAAAAAACTGCTATTCAGATGGGTAGGCTATATGAAGACAAGAAGTGAGGCCAAGGAAAGCTCAGAACTGAAAATTAGAATAGATTCATTAAGGATCTGATTAAACTGATGAGAAACCAAAACTTAACGACCCACTGCTGGTGCAAGAAGAAAATGTTTTCCGGTCCAGTAAAAGTCAGATAAAGACACATTGGCTCTCCCTCCAGTTGCCCACAGAAAGAAATGACAGGAAAAAAAGGAATATTGACATTTAGGACATTGTTGAAGCCACGGCTCACGTGATGAGCCTGACTGAAACCTTCGACAGTGCCACAGACACAGCTGGAGCAGTTTGGATAAGGTTGTCCAAGAGTACGGCCCACAAAGACTGATCAAGCTGGACTCCCACGAGATCAGTATTAAGATAAGATGTTCCTTTCTTAATCACTATAATTAGCATCATACGTCACTCCAGACAGATGAGAAGGAAAGCAGTTTGAAGTATGCTCGATACAACAATGGACAATACATATTACCTCTGGACTAAGTTCTGCCCACATGATGCCGGCCAGTAGCTGAACAGCAAGACCAGTTCTAGTCTGCATGCCCATCACCTTAGGACTACAGTGGTCTGAAACGTGCTGTATAAATCCATCCTGGTACGAGGATACGGACAGTACAGGGGGAGAAGGCGAAGTAAAGGGCAAAAGTGGACAATGGAAATGCATGCACAGTGGATAATCTCCAACCGCGTGGAACAAGCTTACGAAGCAGTGTCCCGTAGCAGTAGGGCCTATAGTGCCAAGACTGTATGGCTGCAGCCTGGAGCCTCCTGTCTCGTGCCCTGTCCTCTGGTGCCATCCGCAACCTTCTACGTTGCAAAATAAAAGCTCGCGTCTGGTTCCATCTTCCTCGTTCTTTAGTGTTTTTGAACTGAACTGTCACTGCAATCACGCTAATGAATAAAAATCCATTCAACATCTGTCCGTCTGTAAGATGAATACAGACTAAAGATCCCCTCTGAGATCATCATTATTGTATTCCAGCAATCTGGTAGAAAGATTGTTTGAAGTATTCCAACCCACTGCTGTTACAGTATTAGACAGGCTATAAACTCCTGTTACTTGTATGTATGCTTGTGTGTATGTCCATGCTGCAGGCATACATACTGATTGAGATTCAGTCAGCTTGTGTGTAGGCAGGCTTTGTGGACTTCTGCCTAGGGCTGCTGCTTATATCCTGTGCAGTGTTGGGAGTAATGCGTTACAAAAGTAACGCAATTAGGCTACAGTAATACATTGCTTTTTGCTGTAACGCTGTAATATAAAGCATAAACGGTAACGGTAATATTATACCCATTACAATCTCAGTAAGGCGTGTTACAGTGCACTTTAACTTCAGTTAAGAGGCGAAACATTTCAGCACCAGAAAAACAAATCCATGAGTAAAAGAGTATCCAAACGTGATTTCCTGTTGCAGCTATCCGATGGTCGAGATTGTAGGCAGGGTGCAAACTACGGGGGAGCTCGGCTCCTCTTAACAAGACGGCAGCTCCCCTGATGGATCATGCTAAATAGATTTTCTATAGGCCACGTGTTTGTGCTTTAATGAATCACTTTCCTGATCAGAGAGGCTGTTGTCGGTTCATCTTGACCGATCTGTCGGAGCGTCGGGAGATTCCAATAATCAGTGACGTTATGCTGCTGCACCTCGTGCATACCTCGGGGCCAGACGCCCGAAGCTGCCCGAGGCAGCAGGTCTCTGGATCTCTGTTTATTCTCTTTGGTTAATAAATGCTTCAAAGACAACGGTTGGTTGTTACTCAATTATTTACTTAATCCCTCACCAGCAAGATGCAATTTCCACGACAGTCAGGTGGAATTTTTTCCTGTAGACTCTGAAGCTCTTCAACAGGTGAACTCCAAAAGCACAAACATTTGTCTTTTTAAAGCTGATAAAACTGAGGCAGCGTTCTAACAGAGGGAACCTTTCAGGTTGTTGACACTGACTTTACTTTACTGCCCCTCAGTGGTTGAGTTAGAGACTTCAGCCAGACTTCCTAACAACAGTTATTACCAGCAGTACTCAGAGCCGGTCCTGACCTCCCTTGGGCCCTATGCGAAATCCTGCCATGGGGCCCTTCTACCTGAATCATGAGCAATGTAAACAGTTTGCCATTGCTGCACAGTCACTAATGACACTACAGTGCTCTCACTACAACCCTCCCTCCTTTAAAACAGTCTGTCTCTGTAATAAGCCTGAATGGAAACCAGTGCTGGTTTGAATGGACCTCTGCGCACAAACTCAGTCCTCTTAAAGTCTCCCAAGACCGGGGGCCAATCTGCTGGGTCATTTGGTGGATGGCTGTACATCTGTGGCTGCTTGTACTGCCTGAGGCTGACTGTATATTTCACCTGGGTCTGTGTGTAAAGACATCTGGACTGGGTCTGTGCTAGTACCGGCTGACAATCCAGCATCTGTTCTACTGACAAACTTCAGCATCGACCCTGTAAATTATAGATAACGATAAATGTCATCAGCTACATCAGGCCCATTCAAACTGGCTCCCCACATTTCCTTTATTATTGTCTTGTTTTAAAATCATGTGCACCTCTGAGGAGTGCCAGCACATCCAGGTATTGTTTGGACTGGTCCTCATAGGTCTCAGCTGGAAGGCGCAAGTTTTCTTACGTGCATATAAATGCATGTTGTCTGCTGGGTCAGCAAGACAGACGGTCTAGAGAGATGCACTGCAGCCAACACATTAACTTACTGTGATCTGCTGACATCAGACTTTGAGAGGTGAGAACACCAGTTTACCGGACTGCTGTTCCCACAATTCACTCTCCTTGATGTTTTCCTCTTCTTGTGCCCAGAAGGACATCGATTCCCTTTTCATCCTTCCATCAAAACATTGACACTCGCTTTCACCTTTGACACGAGAGTAAGGCGGGGCCCTGCTTATTATGCGGGGCCCTACGCGACGTGCGTAGTGAGCGTTTAGGACGGGCCGGCTCTGGTAATACTAGAATTTGCACTATAGTTGTGAGCTAATACAAATCTCTAACTTTAAAATATTCCTGAAATTGTTTCTGATTTGCCTTTTTCTATTGGACCACCTCCTTTTAATTTAACTTACTGAATATGAAGCGCTGCCTGCATTGCCCCCCTGCCTGCATTGCCCCCCTGTTTAATGATACAATTTTATCTGGTGATATATTTATTATTTTTGTTATCTTGTTTTGAATTAAGTTTAAACATTGTTTTCTTTACTTATTTTAACCTAAGTTCAGTTTTGAAGTACTTGTACTTTCCCTCTCAGAGAGAAATATTCTGCTATTTTATAGTTTTATACTTCATTGCTACTTTGCTGAACATTTTACATAAAAACATATGATGAGCTCATAATAAACAATGATTTGGCCTGTTTGTGGTCTGTGACCTGGTTGTTGGGCCCCGTGTTTCAGACGTCTGTGAGTTGTTAGCAGTTCCACAAAAGACATTTCGCCTCATAACTTCACACATGGTTTAATTTCAAAAACTGTTTGAGCCCTAAGGAGAACAGAAAAATCAAAGCTTTGTGTACAACAACTTTGATTCTTCTTCTCACATCTTCCATTAATCATCTCACGACCCCTCAGATTTATCTTGGGAGGCAAATATGGTTCTTTTAACTTTAGATTTATCTGACAGTCACAGTTCATTTTCATTAGATTTTGTATGATTAACTGCACAAATTAAAATACCTTACACAGCATATTAACTTGTTAAACTTGCTCCACTTCCACCAGTTGTGACACTAAAATGCTGCAGTAACAATATTTCAACACTCTGGAAGGAGCCATTCTGGCCAAATTAGTACTTTTGGATTAACTAGATTTAGCTGATGATGCTGGAGTGAACATTTAAAAACAGGACTTTTACTTGTACCAGAGGATTTTCAAGAGTAATATTAGTATTATTATTATTAAATATTATAATAGTGTTGATGTTTTGACAGTTCTTCTTCATCTTAAACAATATTAACTGAGAGTATTTTGACTCTTGGAGGATAAAAGCCCACACATACAGACGTGTGGTGCTGGACTCCACAATTTAAAGGGCTGTTTGAGGTTAGGACTTGTTTCTATGGTTAGTTGTCTTAGTTAAGGTTAGGGTAACG